AATAAAAAATTAATCATTATAAAATTTAAGAATTTTTATACAATAATTTTTAATTTTTTATAAAATACATTTTTAATTACTTTTTTCAATAAAAACTTTTTAATAAAATAACTCTCTAATTAAATAGTCCTTTCAAATCTTAAGAAGTAAGGCAAAGTTAAAATAAGGATCAAACTTTTAAGAATGAGAAATTTAATTGTTTTAAAATAAAGACCATATTGACTTGGTCGTGAGTGGCCAAAGCCCCATTAATTGATTTAGATTTAGTTTGATAATATTATTTGCAGTACTTTTTAAACATATTTATAAATTTTTTTGTAATTTATATATTTAATAAATTATCTATCCCTAATTTTTTTTGAAAGAAATAAAAAAGTTATCTAAAATTAATAAAATTCATAAATAATTTAATAAAACTTTTAAATCTTTTTTCATACATTATATATTAAATTATTAATTAATTTAATTTTAAATAATAATATATCTAATTAAATAATTTTATAATAAATAATTTTTTTAAACTATAATTACCAACCACTAAAATATTTTTTATAATAGTACAACACAATACTTCTAACAGTTATAGTTAGGATAACATCAGATAATGTTGTCAAATTAAGTTTCTATATTTTTAATAAAGTAAATTTCTAACCAAAAATTCCTTGGAATCTTAAGAAGTAAGGCAAAGCTTAAAAGTAAGGACTGAACCTTTAAGAATAGAAAATTTGATTGCTCTAAAATAAAGACCATATTGAATTGGTCTTGAGTGACCAAAGCCCCATTGACTGATTTTAAGGTTCTCTTTGTACGGAGAAACTTCTTCATATATTTTTTTAAAACTTTTTAAATAAAATTATTATGTATTTTTATATATTAATATTATAATTGAATGAGAGTAAAAGTAAGATTTTTTGGATTTATTTTTTCTTTTATAATTTTTAATCCATAAACTTATCTTTTCATAATTTTTTGAAAAAAAAAAAAAAGTTTTCCCTCAACTTTCTTTACGTAGTATTTATTTGATAGTTTTTCTATCAATTTTTTTTATATTAATCTTTTATCAAACACATAAAAGTTAAAAACCTTATAACATTATAAACTTATAATATTATAAAAATATTATAATGGCATCATTTGCGATTATTTTAGTAAAGTTTCATCTCAAAACTAAGATGAGAAGATATTTAATATTGGGTCAAAATTAACAGCTAAATGTGGGGCAATGACTTCGTGGAAGTTTAAGGAGACTCGGATCAATCAGTGAAGAAAAGTGGAAACCAAAAAAAAAAAAGGATCAGTGAAGAAAAGTGGGAAGCCCAAAAGTCAAAGTAACCGTTTCCATGGGGAGCATTGAAAGTTGAAACGTAGTAATTACGACCGTTGTGGGAACGGCGGTGGGATAAAACGGGAAAAGCCAAGTGCAAGCGACATCGGAGAAATTAAGAAGCGAAGAAGACGGTCGAAACTACTATGTGTGTAAATGTCTGGTGGTTAAATAATTAAAAACATAAAATTCTAAAGTTAAAAATTTTAAATTTAAGTTTTAAGTTAGATGAAAGAAGATTTAAGAATAATAAAAATTATCTTGTTTTTTATAATTTATAATTAAATATATAAAAAAATTATTATATGTGTTTAAATAAAAGAAATTTAATTAAATAAATATTATAAAAAAATTTAAATCTTATATAATTTGATTTTATAGTAATTAATACCTAATGTGAACGATAGAAATTAATTCGGACACCCACAGTAACATCGATTCTTCCGCGAGGACTGGAGACTAATATAATGGAAAGCGAGTCGTGATACGAACAACACGCCATTTTTAAGTTAAAAACCATTCTTAAGCCTCTAGACTTATCCCAAATTAGTATTTAAGCCTTTGAACTAAAAATGATACAATTAAGCCCTTTAACTCCTCAATTGGTGCAAATAAGCCCATCAACTTAGATCCATAGCAAAAGTGCCGACATCTATATTATTGTATTAACACTTTAAGTTGTTTTCAATTTAGATAACTTGTATTTTTAATTTAATCCTATTTTTTTGGTACTTCCCTTTGCCCCCAATTAATTAGATCTCATAAGAAAAAACTCTTTAAATACATATCTTTTTATTTTATTTATAGAATTTAAATTTGAAACTCTATTTAAGAAAAATTAAGTTTTTTTTAATTTAAACCTAAAGGTCATTTAGAATTTCATTTTACTTTTTTACTATAGTTTTTTTTAAATAAATCAAAATTTGGAGTTTAATTATAAAATAATTACAGAGCTCATTTTCATTAGTAAAAGTTAAAAATACCATATACATTATTCATGATTCATACATTACAAAAAAACATTGTAGGTGGTATCTTCAATTTTTATTAATGAAAATGAGATATGTAATTATTTTACAATTAAACTCTAAATTTTAATCTATTTAAAAAAAACGTCTAATAAAAAAATAAAACAAAATTCCCAACAAACTTTAGATTTATAATAAAAAAAAAAACTTAGTTTTTCTTAAATAAAATTTCAAATTTAAGTTTTATAAATAGAGAGATAGATATTAAAAAGGGTTTTTTATTATGAGATCTAATTCAAGTCGATTTCAAATTAATTGAGGCAAGGGAAAGTACAAAAAAATAGAATTAAATTAAAAATACAAGTTTTTAAAACTAAAAACGGCTTAGAGTATCAACACAATAATATACGTGTCGGCACTTTTGCTACAGTCTAAGTGGAAGGGCTTACGCACCAGTTGATGAGTTGAAGGGTTTAATTGCATCATTTTTAATTTGAGGGTTTAAATGATAATTTGGGATAAGTCTAGGGGTTTAAGAAGGGTTTTTTCCATTTTTAATGACAAAAAGGAAGCATAGCCACTCACTTGAATGTTTGGGTGCTTTGGAAAAGCCACAAGCGGGAAAAAATGTGATGGAGAAGATAATTTTGTTAATTACATAATGAATTTTTTTATCTTATATATTTAGAATACAAAATAAATATATATTTTTTATATTTTTTATTATTAATATGTATAGTAAAATAAAAAAATAATATTAATTTTATTAATTATTTAATAAAAAAATATTTATATATCATATATATTAAAATTAAAATTAATTATATTAAAATTAGTGTTAATTATTTTATTTTTATATAAATTAATATATAATAAATAATAAAAAAATATAATAAATATATCATTACCGGTATGACAGAGATAGAAAAATCGATTTCGGTAGTTGAAAATCGATTTCGGTAGTTGAAAATCGATTTCGGTAGTATTAATTTGCTTACTACTAATTCGCTGTCCGGTTTCAATAATCAGTGGCGCGTTTTCGAGAATCAGCCTTTAAGAGTCCTGATAGCAGCGTTTTTCTGCCGTATCGTGTTAGGTTCGCATATTAGTGGTTGTCCAACGTCGAAAAAAATGTGATAATTAATATGAGTAGTTGGGTCTTTTCTTTTTTTTTTAATTACACAATAAAAAATAATAATAGATAATTATTTTTTATCTCTTATCTTACTTTGTACATATATAATGTGATTCAAATTTAAAACTGTTTACATCTAACGAATAAAAGTGATTGCTTAGTTATTTAGATTGTTGACATGAGTAGTTGATATATCTTACTTTGTACATATATCATGTGATTCAAATTTAAAACTGTTTACATCTAACGAATAAAAGTGATTGCTTAGTTATTTAGATTGTTGACATGAGTAGTTGTTATTCTACATCAAAGGAATATGATAAAAATAAGAATATATAAGTGGACACATATGAATCTATGTTGTATTTAATATGATTGTAATGTTTAATTTAAGTTTTTACAAATTTTATCAATTTAAATACGGAATTCTTTCAGTTTTTTTTTTTTTTGAACTCTTCTTTCAGTTTTATGTTTATTCGTTAAAACATTATTATGATTAGTAAAAGGAATAAAAAAATAATTTTAATATTACTAAATATTTTTATAGTTTTAATTAATATTTTTATAGTTTTAATTGTTTTGAAACTTGTTTTAAATTAAATTATCGATTCTTGACTTTTAGTTTCCGTTTTTAATCATCGCAAAATTTATAAAACGAAAACTAAAAATTATAAATCATATTCATACTAAATAAAGTCTTAATAAATATTTTTTGATATTTTATTACACAATGAAGGAAAATTTTTTTTTCTTATTTTTCAATCTATTTTACTCCCATATCATATAATTCAAATTTAAAATATCTTATTCATGTAGTAAATGACTTAAATAGTTCAGTAATAATTTATTTGCACAAGAAATAAAAAGTTTTAAATTCAAATTATATAGTATGTGGGTGGAATTAGATAAAAAAATAAGAGAGAATTACCTTTCATTGTGCAACTAATATTAAAAGAAATATATCTTACTTATGTAGGAAACATATAACCATTAAATTACTAAATTATTGGCATAAATTTAGTAAATTAGTTTTTTATGCTCAAGATAACATCTCAAAAATTAAGAAATATATGTAATGGAATATTATTCAAGCTTTCAAGTGTCCTGGCCTCAAAACATGTTCTTTTACCCAATTGCCATTTTCAAAGATGGGCTGAAGCGTGACTTCAATTTGGCAGACGATCACAGTCCATACGGCCCCAATACAAGTTGGTGTTTTTGTGTTACGTGA